TGGAGTACACTGTTACTTAAACTATTACTATGTTTCTCTTTAATTTTTATTTACTTTTAAATTTTTGGTGGGAGTACCTGCCAGTTTTCAGCACCAGACCCTTCAAGGCGAGTAGAAAATTTCTTAGCGAGGGGCGATTATTTTATAGCCTCACGCTTTAAGGTATATATTTTGACATAGATTGAGTAACACGACTTTATGGTTATAAGATTACGGTTTCTTATCCCTATTCATATCCAATTATGATCAAGTAACCACAGCTGTAATGGGTTGGGGTCAAAGGCAAACCCTTCAATTAGTCCTTTCAAATCTGATCCAAATAGATTAAGGCAGTATTTGGGTTCCAATACAGCTTCAATAATGTTTTGCTTGATTTACAAGACCACTCTGTAAAGTGATTGGTAATTTGATGTACATAAATATATTCTATTTAAGACTTGATAATTTGATATTTAAGACCTTTTTTACCAAAGGGGTAATAACCCCTTTCCTAACAAATCTGTCATTATCTTCTTCATCACTTTCAAAGTTTTTAACTGTTTTTTCTTTTAACTTTTTTGTTTAGAGTGGTGGCAGTTGAGTGGGAGAATAGTTGTTTCTTATTTGAAAGGTCGACGGATTAATATTAATTTCTAAGTTACGAACATTTGATAAAGGTCAAGGAAAACAACATTCTCGAAGATGGTTGACAATCCTTGGAAAACGTGTGGAGTACAAACTTGAAACCTCTCTTTAGACGAGCTCAGTCTCACCCACTTACAGCATATTCCAACTTTGACGATATCGTGTACTCATATTGCTGCAGGAGGTCACGCGTTTCTAGTACAGCTTCTGGTCTTTTATTACCTGGCATGACTTGTCCAGGTCCATTTGATATCAATCTTTATTTCGGTAACGTTGAGAGAAATGTTTTTCTTGGTTTTCTGTAAAATAGCAACAGTTATTGCAGCAGTGTTTCAAAGTTATCTGCATGTTCGTATTTTACTTTCTATATATATGGTTCTATGTTCCGGAGTATTTCTATTTATCCATGGAAGATTTTTTAAAGCATGTTTTGTATATCCTGTCACTGTTAAAGATGCCATAACTTATTGCTAGGTCAGCTATTGACAAATACAAAAATCTTTGCATGTGGGGCAGAAGAAAGGTTAAAAAAATTAACGCTCCCACGCTAGCACCACATTAATTTTCTTCTTCCTGTTCTTACAACACGCTAGGTGGGTCGGCACAATATGTACTTTTCTCCCACTCTCCCGTATCAGCCGCTGTATCCATACTCAGACCTTTCTTATCCATGTCATCATTCACACCATCTATATATATTTTCTTTGGCCTGCCTTTCCCCTTATATCCCTCTACATTCATACCTAATACACTTCTCGTCACATGCCATGATATTCTTCCCTCTGCAAGACATGTCCAGACCACGCTAATCTATAACCTATTACTCCTTATTTTTTCCGTTACTGGCGCCACTTGCAAACTTCCTTTAATGTACACATTCTTGTCTTATTATTATCTTATTCTTTCTCATCACTCCACACATGCATCTCAACATTCGCATTTCCGCTGCTTGCACAGTTCGTTCGTCCTCCCTTTTCATCGCCCAACATTCTGATCCATTTAGCACGACAGGACTAATCACGGTCTTGTTTATTTTCCCCTTTAGCTCAAGGGGCATTCGCCGATCACAAATAATGCATGTTATCTGTCGCCACTTATCCTATTCTTAACATTCCAGTCTGTCTCGCCGTTGTTCTGTATCAACGAACAGAGATACCGAAAATCGGAGCAGACTGGTAGGGACACATCAACTAAGGCAATATTGGTAAAATCGTAGGCTACGCCGAAGTCGAGGACAGGCTGTTCGGTTTTCGACCAACTAATTCTCAATCCTATATTCTCCTACCTGCCATTTTGCGAATCTGCTCTGGATCTCAAGTGCATCCTCGTCGACAAGAACAATGTCGTCGGCGAACAACATGCACCACGGTGCCTCCTCTTATATGTCTGATGTTAGAGCATCCATAATCAGGAGAAACAAATAGGGGCTTGAAGTCGATCCTTGGTGGAAGCCCACAGCCACATTGTAACATGAAAACGTGATTTATGTTAAAAACAATAGCATTCTTTAAAAAAATAGTAATAGACATAATACGAAGAATAACAATAAACTTGCTGTTCATGACAGTCCACATAAACGCAGAAATAAACTTATGGGACTTGGGGCTTTTTGGGGATTTTTGGCTTTTTTTGGAAATTACATAAAATTAAAAATGTATGTGTCTAACGGATGTCACTTGTAGGTGCACGAACATTTAAAACAGGGAACAAATAAAGATACAGCTTCTGCGTACTTACATGACAAATATCTATCTTACTTGAAATATATGTTGTAAATCAATATGTGTACAAATGTTTATTTACAAAAAGCTACTTCTAATGTTTTTTACTAATATTTCTCAGCACAATCTGCGTTACGAATGAATAATAAAATTTAATCAATATGACAATTTCAAGTGTAACTTCCTTACCTGTAAATATAAAAATTATTTGAGTTTTGAGTTTGATTGCTTGAAGCAATTATAGTGTCCGTACCCGTTTTAATATCACAGCTTTCATTCAACGTTTTTTAAACATATGCAAAATATACTAGTAAATTGCAGCTGCAAAATGTAACAATAAAACAACAACTTCATATTTACATTTTATCTCGCAAAGCTTCTCATGGAATATACGCAGAACTCGAGCGGTCAGATTTACATTTTTATTCCCGCAAGATGATTCAAAATAGCAAACTACACTTTGCATTCTGTTGAGTTTACTTGACTTTCTTTTAGCTTAGATTTACTTGGACAAAACAATAATAACACTCAATTTTAAAAAGGCTCTGTTTCTAGTTTCTATTTAATTAATAGAGCATCAAGTATGTAGAAAAGAGTATAATGCGCAGACCGCACCGCGAACGAAGGTAGGCTAGCTTAGGATAGCTCACGTAGCCGGGGCATCATTTCCATGTTTCGGTTCATACCGCGAACTGCTTTTCATCTGTGATGAATATGCCAAGTTACATGGCTTGGTTTATAATATTAATAAAATAGTTTTTATGATCTTCAAATACAAAAAAGGACCAGATTTTGTACCTGATTTGTGTCTGTATGATAGTAGGTTGGTTAGGGTGGATAAATTCTGTTATCTTGGTCATATAGTTACTGAAAATCTTAGTGGTAATGCTGATATTGAGCGAGAAAGGAGGGCATTGGCAATGCGTGGTAATATGTTGGCCATGAAATTTGCACTCTGTTCAGATCAAGTTAAAGTAACGCTCGTTATATCGTACTGTCAGACACTATACGTGTAGTTTGTGGGTTAACTGTAAAAAAACAAGCGTACGATGCCATCCGCGTTCAATATAACGATGTATTTAGAGCTATGTTTAAATTGCCAAGATACTTTAGTGCATCTGAAACGTTTTTGTTAGCACGTACGTACGGGTTTGCTGCTGTGCTTAGAAAGAGGGTTTCTTCTCTTAAATAGAGAGTGCTAGATAGTACTAATAGCATTATAGCTGGTATACCTCGTAGTTGCGACTCGTCCATACTGAGACATTGGATTGCAATTATTAGTAATTAAGTACCTGTATAAAACATTTAATTCTAATTTAACATTATTGTAATTCTATGGATTTGTATGTCTGACATAAATGTTTATTATTATTATTGTTATTATAAAAGAGTATCAAAATAACTGTACACCAGTCTTTGCTGCAACACAGCTCTTCTTCAAACCATTTTGTAGATTGTGGACCTGAAACGCATAACAAATCTAGGTCTAGACTATCATCATCATCGTCATCATCAACCTATTTATACGTCCCACTACTGGGCAAAAGCGAAAGCTTTATGTCATAGTCCGCCACACTGGCCCAATGCGGCTTGGGGACTTCATACGTTTTCCGAGAGTAAACCTTCTTCGAGGTGCAGATTTCATCACGATAAACATCGTTAATCGAAAAGCTCATGGTGAATTTCACACAAAAAACCACCGTCCTACGTTTTGTGGTACAACAAAACAAATTACGAATATGTGTTAACAGTAAAATAATTTCAAAAATAGATGACTCATTGCATAATGTATCACATTTCCAATATTAAAATACACTTGTCTATGTCACTTAACAAACTTCTGCATTCTGTTCAATGTATGGGGAATATGTTTTTTTTTATTTAAAGAAGGAGGCAAATGAGCGGACGAGCCACTCGATAGGGTGATCATTGACGCTCATAGACGTTTGCAACATCAGATGAGCTGCCATTGCGTTGCCAGCTTTTGAGAACCCTGTAAACATGCTTTTTGAAGAACCCCATGTCCAACGAGATGTCCGCGTGGTCTTACAATGCCAGGCATCTAAGATGTGGGGATGAACTCTACTCCTTTGGTGGGAGGTGCGAAGGTAGAAATGAGACGATGGCACCAATTCCAAAGAGCTATTTCTGCTTCCAAGCTGTAATTGTGAGCATTTGATAGATTAGATAAGGGTGCTGGTGAAACTATAGGCACATGCGACGTGTCAACTTATGTCTCAGTGGCACTGGCCCTAAGATCTTTGTCATTATAAGCTCTAAGTGGCACTTCAATTATTATATAGGCGTGTCGCTTACCACCAGGCGCACGACGTTTTCGTCCCGTCACTTGGTATTACAAAAAAAACCGTGGTGTAAGAATATTTACTAAGAACGAAGCTTTTTAATCAAGCTTTTTGAGAAATTGCTGTCAGCAGTCTGTATTGAGCTGTTCAGTATTAACTACAGCGGTCAAAACGTTGATGACGAGCAGTTACGATATAGTCCAAATAATATCAAAATGAAATCAGTAGTTTCATAGTACAAATTGTAATAAATAAGTAATCAGGGCTGACGACAATGTTAAAAAAAGATAAGGAAAATTAAGAAATAAATTGTTTAATTCAGAAAAACATCTTAACAACAGTTTAGTAAGCCTCAAGCATCCTTGAAAATAAAATTAAAAGGCCCCTTCACGTAATTTAGATTGGCAGCCTCCACTCTGGGCGATGGACCGAACCATTTTACTTTGAAGTTTTGTATTACTTTAGCTAGAAACGTTTCTATCTCCAGCTCTGCTACTCTGCGACCTGCAATCAGAATAATTTTCATTTCTCTTATTATTGGGTTTCCTTTTCTCCGTGGTCGCAATCTATTCTACACTTGGTTTGATCTGCTTAAGTGCGTGTAAATTTTCAATATGTTTGTATGTCTATTGTTAGGCTGAACACAGTGAAAGTATACTTATTTTGTTACATATCAACTTCTACATAATCTGTGTTTACATAAATAAAATATGCAAGTCTTCTTTTAATATAATATTATTTTTAAATAATATTTAATTATGTAGTCCACTCCACTCTGCTTTATTCCATTTCACTCTACTCTGCTCAAATTTATTCTATTGAATTCAAAACTCAAATTCCAAATAGCAAATGCATTTCGAAAAAGTTTTGGATTTAACATTGCTATTAGAAAACCAAACAAAATTAAGACCCTTAGTTTATATAACCGTGGATCTTACGACGAGATTTAAACCAACGTTCAACTACTAGACGTAACATTTTAGTAACAGTAGAGTTCTTTATGAAAGTGTTCGTCCAGGGAAGTGCTTCCACCATATCTATTTCTACCGCCAAAATAGTGATGTGTGCATTACTGAGTTCTGATTTTGAAGGATAAAGATGCTGGTCAAACTACAGGCATATATGGGACTTCGTTAAATGTGGTGGGCGCAGTGGCAATGCCCCTCAGATCTTTGCGATTTATAGTTTCAGTGGCAATGCAAATATTATAGGTTACCACCAGGCGCACGACTTGTTTGTCCCATCATTATTAAATAATAAAAGAAACATACCTGCGCACATTCTGACGCCATACCCCCAAGGACTAAAAGAAAACGGATGAGTGTTCTTATAATACAGAGGGTTATTCTTCTCCAACCACCTTTCTGGAATGTACTCGAGAGGTTTCGGGAACTGACTCTCCATGATCGACATTTGTTGATGGCTGAACATCACGTACATCTGAAATTTGTTTATAACAACTAAACAATACAGACTCCAAATTTACACGTGCATTTGCAAAACGAACGTTACGGACTCCTTACAAAACAGAGATACGCTATTCAGATCCGGAAAAAACTGGTTTTATTTCTTATGGTTATGTTATGTACTGGTTTTATTTATTTTCTCGGATTGGAATCGGAATTAGTGTACAAACGACGTCTGAAGTGGGTCCGAGTTTTCTAGATTTGTCTCGGATTCAAAATGAATACGAATCGGTTAAGCAAAGTGGAAGACCGGTATCAGACGATCGCAAACTTAATTATTTTAAAACTTACCCCAGTTGGAATTCTATATCCTAAAATATCATAGTCCTTAGTAACTTGTCGCAAATTTCCACCGACAACGGGTTGAATCCTCATTCCCTCTTTAATACAGGCTTTTAAATATTTTCGGGGTTCTTCTGGATTTTCTGTGCGTAATTCTTCTCTGAGTTTGTCTTGTTTCTCTGTGTTCTTTGCCAATTGATATAGAATTGACGTCACTGTATTTGCGGTCTGTAAATTGAAAGTATATTGGTTTCAAAATGTTCAAATTAAAAATATTAATGCGTCAGCAATGTGGTAATGTGTATTTTCGCTGTAAATACATTCACCCTTGTCTTCCAGCCCCTACGCTCCGGACGCACCTCGTTTGCTTCATCAACTTGCATCAGCCTTTTCATACGTCTTTTATTTCTAACATTTTTTATGTGCCCTAGTTCTTTACTAAGTGTAGTAGTCCGGTAGTGTTATGTTGTATACATTTTTGCCGTTATACAAGAAATCGCTCTAAACCTTTGCCATGCTAATGCTGAGTTTGAGAGATTCATAATTAGCATGACTAGCGAAAAACGCAGCGTTGAAGTATTCATGTGAAATGACATGTATGTTGTTAGGGTAGGGAATACCGTGTAATACATTGTTAAATGTTTTCTCTCTAAGTGCACTATTTCTTTTGCATTTAGAATAACATGTCTAGCAAATTCATGTTTTTAATTATCCTACTTCATTAGAACTACATTATTGATAATAGTCTCGAACCCATAAAAATAGCAGTTTATTTTGAGTACGAAAAAATTGTAATTCTGTTGCATTTAGAGTTCAGTATTAAGGCGACGAAAGGTGACAGTTTGCAGATACATTATTTTTAAGGAAAAATTTTCGGAGATCACAACTAGCTGGAAGAGCTTGCCTACGAAGCGCCTCTGGGTATTTTTTCCCCAAAATACTTATATATGAAATATAATTTTATAAGTTTGTTCAATTAAAAGACAGTAGCTTAGAGATAAGTAGTATTTTATTATTAAATATATAAAAATCCGCTACTTTAAATGAAAATCCAAGAACAAATTCAGAATCTAGGTCTTATGTGCTTTGAAATGCGCCAAGTGCAACCTATGCCAGTTTGAGGTCAGGACATGCCTCCTAATTGCATAGAACATCGTTCTTTACTCTTTTTTAACCGACTTGAAACTAAGGAGGAGCTTCTCAATTCGATAAGCTTTTTTTGTGTATGTCGGGATTACATTTTCAATAAAACTTGGCAAATATAATTACGCATTTCCATAAACTTTTGAGGTTAAGTTTTTTTTTATATAAAAGATATAATTTTGTTATAAAAATAAAATTTGTTAGTGCATAGCCAGTGTGTCTTGTATTTATATGAGATGTGGTGAAATTTATACGAGGAATGATAATGAACTGGTTTGTCTTGTTGTTTACATAAAGCCACAAATTTATTTAACGGGTTATTACACGCTTCTATAATAAGTTTCCTCTTGATATTCCGAATGTGCCATTGTCAAGGTTTAACCCTGTAGCGAAATAAAAACATTATGATTTAAGATCCGTAAGGCATGAGTCGTTAGAGTTAGTAATTAATTATAAATGAAGTTGCTTTTAAAAACAAATTCTAAGTTTGCCTTTCTTTTATCCCAAAAATCATAAATAATCTCACCGTATCAACTCCAGCAAAAAGCATATCAGAAGCCATTATAACAGCTATTCTTTCATCAATTTCCAATAACTTTTCCAACACTCCTTTTTCAGATTCTGATGCTTTCTTTTCTTTCAGTTCTTCTCTCGCTTTGTCCACGAAATATTTTGCTAATCTGAAATTGTAATTGTTGAAAAATTAAACGCCATATTTGGTTAAGTGTTTTACCACAAATGGTCTACAATTATAACAACCAAACTAACCTCTCAAAAATTTGCATTTTGTCGTTTACCTAGGACCCAGTGAGCTTTCTTAAACAGTGCTTGCGACTCAATGTTAACATAATTTTACAAAATAAATACATTCTTATACAAAAATATATTGGAAAGGGTCTTCATTATTTAATGCTACAAAAAGTTAATTATTTTAAGATAAGAAACAAGGACGAGAAAAAATTAAAAACAGATTTGCAATCTGCATAATCCGGTTGGAACAATATTAAATGCACCATTAAAAGTTTTCTCGTTTGATGTTAACATCTAATTAAACTAAATCAAATATTGGAAATAAAATTATTTTTTCATAGCTAAATCGCATATATTTGACGTTCAAACAAACCAAACCTTTCAGGCCCTTTATAGACCGACGTGGCAAAGTTATGTCTAATATGAACTTTGGTTCGTTTGAAAAAACAAATACACGCGATTCAGATTTCGAGAAAATAGTTTCATATCCAAAATGTAGCTAAATGTATACAAATAAAATAATACTAACTAAATTATTTTGAATATTTTACTGTGTAGTTAGCCCTCGAGCAGAAACTATATTTACTACAGAACCTATTACGGACGTGGTAATATTATTTACTTTGCGCATCTCTGGCAAATCTTTGCTCTACTTCCAGCCAATCTTTCTCTGAATCGTCGTCCAGCTTCTGTTTGCTAAGCTGGATTTAATCAGGTATTTATCCATTCTCGATTTCGGTTTTGCGCCTCATCACTAATTTCTAAAGACATAACCGATAATAGAGAGGATCCAAATGGAGGTATGAAACATACTTGCGTTTAGAGTGAGAGTAATCTAACCCAACCGCGTCCCATTAGCAACAACTTATGTCGTATACATGTAATTGTCTCACCTATCCTGCTCTTCGTATAATTTCATTGCCCGCCTATAAGTACGTGTTGAAATATACTTCCACAAGCTCGATTGGAAATCCAGTTTAAATGAAGTAGTGAAGATATCGTGGATACATTTAATCAGTTTTTTCTCATTTGAGTTTTCTGCGAGATTTGGATCAAAGCAATTCAATCGACGTCCGAGAGCAACTACGCCGATGGATTCCAAAGCCCAGAGATTCATTTCTTGGTCGAATTCTCCTTTGAGCATGTTGTTTTCGTCTCTTATGTCTTTCATCCTAAAAAAAATTCAGAAAAGGAAGAAATACAAAATTATATTAAGACATTGGATTGGGCATTAAGTTTAAATGGCCGTATACCACTATGTAGTAAATTAAGTCATCTTCTTCTTGTCGCATCGACAGCCTGATTTCAAAAATGACAGCGATAGAGGACGTAGGGCTCTGTCAGTCAGCGGGAATATGATCACAAGAAGATTCGTTAGATGTTCGGGAGAGGTGAAGGTATCTCTCTACAGAGCATACTGTACCTCCCTATATACATGCAGTCTTTGGCAAGAATATACGAACGGGGCTTACAGAGCCCAACGTACTTAATATAATAACGCGTTCCGGGTGTCGAAGCGGTCGCCCCGCTTCTGCAGCGCATCAAGGATGCTTGAAGATGCGCGTGTAGGTGGTTTTGACGCCACTTTGCGTAATAGATGCGCGTCACTGGTGCACCGTGTGTGGACCATCCCCAACTTCGTTTTCCGTGTCATAGGAGATGAATGTCCCTATATTACACACTGTTGTGGGCTACACGCGTCCAAATGTATAATACAATTTTAGTTTCTACTAACATTAGAAAATGTGCACATCTTTGTATATCCGCTCACGTGATACATGCAGCCGTAGACGTATACCACACCTAGAGGTGCCGGTGATGATTTTATACCGATTTATCGGATATCGAAGTTGTAATAGCTGAAAGACCTAATATTAATTGCTATTTCGGTAACTACTCTAGCAAACCATAAAGTTTTTAATGCCTGGGTCTGTCAATTAAAAAAATAAACAACTTCAAAAATACGTCACGACAATCGTGTGTGTTATTGTTTGGGCTGGTTATTTCGGTGTTTATTTATTGAAAACATACCATAAGTAGCGATTGTTAAGTTTACCCTGAATATAAATGTTTATAAACTATACTTTAAGGAGTAATTTCATGGTAAACGTTAGAACCACTGAAATGGAATATTATCATATTTATCCAAGTACACCAAAAATTTCATTAGTGCTTTTTAAGTGCAGGATTTGCGGTATATTACTGCATTTTATTTGAGATGTTTTTGTTGGGAGTACGGAGGGTATTTATTTAGCAATGCAGAATAATAATTTTTATTTATAAAAACTTGTATATAAACTGAATCCTTTTCTAATTTGCGAAAACAAATAGCCGCCATTTTGCGGTAGGAGGAGCGCATCGCGTGAGCAGATAAACTAACACGTATGAGTCATCTTTTTCCTCTTCTTCCTGTCCTTATCCCACGCTAAGGGGGTCAGCACAACATGTGTTTTTCTTCCACTCTCCTCTATTCGCCGTCATTTCCATCTCATACCTTTCTTATCCATGTCATCACACAATCCATCCATCATTTCTTTGGCCTTCCCTTCCCCTTACATCCCTCCACTTTCATACCTAACCCTCTTCTACCTACCATACACTAACACATATAAGTCTATTGTATTTGAAAGAAATGTATTATTATCATTCACTATAATGTTTGCCATCGTGATGAAGCGATTTGCCGATTGTTGGCCAGGTTGCGGCAGATGTACAGGACAGGAATGGTAAGCCGTTCTGGGAGGTTCCTTTCGGACACCCTTTACCCAAGTAAGATTATTAAAACATATGTGACATAGGCCACGTTCCACCGCTATTATTACGGCGGCAGTAAGGCGAAACTGTTATCGTATTTACCCAAAGGTGAAATGAGATTACAGCTCGTATCTGACGTGCGGTGACAAAACATTGTACCTAAATATAATTTTTTTTTTAGGAAATTGCAGTATTTGACAACACACATCCTTAATTTATTTCTGGTACAGTTTATATCAATTCGATATTGTGTAAGCAGATGCGAAAAAATTTCGATAATTCGCAGATTCGATAATTGTTTATAACATTGTATATAAAGATAGATATTATATTTAGTAGTAGTAGAGTTCCTTCTGTAAGAGTTCGTCCAGGGAAGTACTGCCACCTTACTTATTTCTGCTGCCAAGCAGTAATGTGAGTTTCGGTTTTGAAAAATAGGCTGCCGAGCTAGTAAGGTTGCCGGTAAAATTATAGGCACATGGGATTTGTTAACTTATGTCTCAGGGTGACGGGCGAGTGGCAATGCCTCTTAGATCTTTGCGATTTAAAGCACTGAAACTGTTATGGATAAGCGTGTCGCTTACCACCAGGTGCACGATTTGTTCGTCCCGTACCTTGGTATTGTAAAAAAAAATATAAAGTTATCTTCTGACAACATAACAGGTGTGTTATGGAACAAAATGATCAGCAAATTCTCGATATTGGCACAGAAATTCCGCGCACATCATGAGGTCTCAATTAAGATATAAAGAGCTCTAACTTAATAACCTAAATTAACTCGTTAATAGGCTTGCTGCTCATTAGACATTGCCGTACTTCTGGGCATAGAGGTATTAGAAAAATATGTTAGATAAAATTAATATGACGTCATCTTTTGATGGTAACAATAAGTTATTGATTAATACATGTAATTTTACGGTCAGTGAAAACTTCCCCTCTTGCAAATTAACTTTAATGTAGGAATCGCCTTCTAATAGACATACGTAGGACACCATACAGTAAACTGAATTAATTCCTATTTGCTTTCAATAAAGCATGATAACTATATTTCCTATGAGTGAGGTAATAAAAAGGTAACTACTATAGAACGGTTTAAATTATGGTAGGGATTGCTAAGAACAATTTTCAATTTACGAATTTGGCATCAGCCTTTGGTACACTTGCTAAATCACTTAATAATGTTATGAGCCTTGAAACAATTACAATGAATACCTTTTAATCATATCTGCTGCTATTTCCTCGAGAGCTGCGACATACAGCTTAATAGTTTTTGGTTGCAGCAACACAGGATTGATTGCAGAGCGAAACTTTTTCCATACTTCTCCGTGACTGAAATAAAAACAAGATTGCTTTAATATTAACGATAGTTGCTGAAACAAATAGGTCGTGATATTCAGGCAGCAAAACATCTTGTGTTGAGACTACGACTAAGCGAGGACGCACAAGAGGCAAACAGACAAAGCCTTCCAAGTTTGCTTTAGAATAAAACGGGGTGCACTTATACACTATAGTCGAGACACAGTCAAATGAGAAGACTCGGCACAGACTCGAGGTGTATCCCCGCAGTCATATTGATATATGGTTTTGAACGTGACTGTGTTACAAGCATGTCGATATTGATACCAATAATTTGAACATATAGGTTTCTGCTAAAGAATTTCCTTTTCATGTAAATTATTCTTCATTATTTTCTAACAGATAGAATCGTTCTTGATTCCATAAAACTTTCAAATAGAGATGCCACGAATAGTGATACGGCCGAATACGTAAGATATGTGCATTTCACTCGACCTTTTATGACCTGGTTCATTGTGCTGCGTGCGTGGGGATGGAGTGTTTTTGTTGAAAAATGATAAAACAATAGAATCAATACTTGACAGTTTCAGGACCAGTTTTGAAGAAGTTGCTACAGTTAGTATGGAAAATGATGAGAATGTGACGAAAAGTTCTATTGCATATGTGATAGACTTTTATTTGAAAACTGTTCGCCTAGATCGGACGGCAGACTTTTACAAATGGTGTTCAGCAAACGCAAAGCTGTATCCAAGCCTGGCAAAATTTGCTAAGATTTATTTATCGTCTCCTGACAGTAGTGTTTATAGTAAGAGGCTAGTTTATTATTATTTAGTTGTTTATGAGAAAAAAGTAATCGTTTATTACCATCCAATGCTGATAAAATTGTTTTCATTATTAAAAAAAATGGCCAAATCGGCCGAATAGTCGTGGCATCTTTTTAATAGTAGTAGAGCTCCTTGTGAAAGAGCTCGCCCAGGGTGCTACTGCCACCTTAATTATTTCTGCCGCCAAGCAGTAATGTCAGCATTACTGCTTGGCGGCAGAAATGGCGGCTAATTCCGAGTTCAACTTTTCGGATTAATGTTTGCTCTGAGATATGTATTTGTTTCCAATACTACGTAGAGTTTTGAGATTAGCAGTGGCCATAAAGTATTTATGGTATAAATGAAATACCGCTTGGCCGGGAAGCGTTCGGAAAACAACATCGGGTATTCGGATAGTAGCTGTGGAGCGCCTTGTGAAAGAATTCGGCCAGTGTAGTGCTGGCACCTCACCTATTACTGCCGCGGAGCAGTAATGTCAGCATTACTGTGTTCCGGTTTTGAAGGGTAAGGGTGCTGGTGAAATTACAGGCACATGGGACTTGTCAACTTATGTTTCGGGTGACTGACGCAGTGGCGGTGCCCCTCAGATCTTTGCAATTTAAAGCTCTGAGTGGCACTGTAATTGTCATGAACAGGAGTGTAGCTTACCATCAGGTGCACAACTTGTTCATCCCGTCACTTGATGTTATAAAAAAAATCTCTATTTACAAATACTTATCAGGACAAGCATCCTGATACTTACTGCGCAGCTACCTATTTTGTAAATATGTGTGTATGTAAGATCTTCTTTCTACTCAACAATTGAATAAGGCTTACGCATCTTTAACTGCCTCTGTGGCCGAACGGTTACCATGCCGGAATGAAACGCAGAGGTCCCAGGTTCGCTTCCCGGGCCGGAAGAAATATTTGTATGGCCTACATTTATTTCTCTCGTGAGTTTGGGTGTAATTTGTGGTTATCTATGTATGTGTCCATTCCACCCGCGACACAGGTTGTGTTGTTTCGACTGTGTCGCGATACCGTCTCAACTTAACCGCGAGGTCTAACGCTAAGTGTTGCTTTTCTACCCTTCACACATATAACCCTGAATGTCTACGTAGACATACGTATGTATTGTATAAAACCGACCATGTTGCTAGGAAGTGGTACCACCTTTCATCAAATAGCACACACGTATACATATACAAACGCACACTTGGTTCGTACAAACTAATTCGCATTTGGTCCATAGCAAAATATAGGTATACAGATGTGTAACGTCACTGCGTCTAAAGATGAACTTACTCTGAAACTAAACCAGTAAACTCAAAGCGATCTTTCTTTATTGTCTTGCGATAATATGATAAAGAATCCATTCCTGGACGTATTGGTAACCAGTTTTCTCCACGTAGAATCTGAAAACAGGTCAATTACTACAATTCTTCCGAATTACGGCATGGATTACATTTCTTAATACTCGTACCTAATTTTAAGGCAATCAAAAATATTGTCAAGAGAAACCAGCAGTTGAAGATTCATCACAGCCCAAAAATACATGAGAAATCCCCAACCCGCAATAACCAAACGTGTCAGCCTATGTACGATCTTTTTTTTTTTTTTTGACGGGGGGAAATCTTTAATTTATGAGGAAGTTCAACATACAAAATCAAACAAGTTTTGCCGCATGGTCGCCTTTTCAAATAACAAAAAGTGACACAAAAGTTCCTTACAAAATGTTCATCGAATTGACTAAAATTAATGGCTCTGTTGATTTCAGTCAGGCCTTTTAATGTTTAAGCAGTAGATCATGTACAAATAATAAAATGCAAAGAAAACATTTACTCGTGCGCAACTTTCTGGATCATACAGAACAACAAAAGGAGGTCTGCCAAAGACACCGTCCAATCTGGCTATGGGCCCATACATTTCGTACAGATGTTTCTGAATTTTGATGACATCATGTAACGGTTCTGCAAAAACAAAAATTGTGCTTCTTAATGACCACTGTTTTTTTTTAATACAAGTTAACAAGATGAAGCGACTATTGGTCACATCCACTACGGAATTTGTAACTATTGGAGACTAGACAAATACATGACGAGTTGAATTCACGGGCAAAAGACTGGGCCCAATAAGGACCCTTGGAGGAGCAATTAACAGTTTCTTTCAAGATGTTGATAATACTTACAACTCTTTATACTGTCTAGTTTTTTTAGCCTGTTAAGAAATATCGAGTTCTTAGGTTTTCGCGATTGTTACACATAGGAAATGAAACTATTTTTCCGAATTTAAATCGCTTAACCAGTTATGTCTAATATTAATGCAAACCACCCTATTTTTTCACTATAGTTACAAAAACTGAGGCAGATGTCTTAGTTCCTGAGACCCGTGACATGTAACACCCCTTACAGGATGCTGGAGTTTACAAGTTTGACTGTGAGTGCGGTCTCTCTTATATTGGACAAACGAAGCGAAGTATTTGTACCCGCGTCAAAGAACATATAGCTGATAATAAACACCGTCGCGTAAACATGTCTGCAGTATGCGAGCATATCATGGATAAACCTACACATTCAATGAAGTTTAACAAACCCCAGGTCCTTGCAAAAGAAGTCCGTTATCTACCCAGGATACTGCGAGAGGCCATTGAAATTAAAAAACATCCTAATTTCAACAGGGAAGATGGTTTTTCGGTACCACCAGTTTGGGATCCTGTATTTCCTCTAATGAAAAATCCCAAACAGACATAAGACTGCAGTACTAATTAATATGTTTTAATTTATTATAATTTCTATTATTAATTAATAATAAATTGAACTTAATAAAAATTCATTCAATAAAATAATTTGTAAAATGTAATGTGGCGTAAATTGGAATGTTTCTTTGTAAAATTAAAAATAATGTATTTAATTAATAACTTTTGTAACTATAGTGAAAAAATAGGGTGGTTTACATTAATATTAGACATAACTGGTTTAAGACTGTACCACCTCAGTCAACCGTGACCATGGGACCTGTAAAGGGCCCGTAACGTCGGTTTGTTTGAAGAAACAAATATACGCGATTTAAATCAGGAATAGTTTCATTTCCTATTAAGAAATACTGACTACTTTGGTTTAGTCAAAGTAAAGTTGATTACACAATAGGTAATACTCACGTCCAGGAAGAAAATGAAGTAGCTGGCCAATGATGGGCAATGTTGACGGGCCTGGGATTTCCTTCCATGATTTTACGGGTACTGGTTGTTCAGCAACGTTAGTTGAAGCATTGTTTGCGGATATTGCTCTGCAATCGCATAGGCTATATTACTAAATTACACCATAATACTGCTCTCTACCATTATTTATAGTGAACCCTAAAATATCCTACAAAATATTTACATTTCGACAAATTCTCCACATGTATTCAATACATCATTGTTATTTAATTAATTATTAAATGAATTAGTTTATGGAATGAGCAAATACATAGTCTTAACAACTGGAGCTGGGAGCCTAAACTTTCCTTACATAATAGTTTTTTATTCTCTCTACAGCATAACCAACTAACGTGAGAGCAATTTAAACGATTACTTTCTAAAACAAAAATGACCGTCATACATATCAAGCATATGAATGTCCAACTACATAAATGTTCAACCATCAAGAAGGCAACCACAAAATTGTCCAACCACAACATTGTCAAACTATAACAATTGTTCAAGCATCTCACCAGATGGCGGTTCAAAAATTTTTTTTTTGCTGCGGCAACATTCAATTGCCGTTTTTTAAACTGACTTTTTTGAATTCATTACATTGACTTACAATTATATGGACGTCGGGTCCGCGCTAAAAAGTGTCCGCACTTGTAAGGCGCTAAAATCGTATACAGAGCGCCAAACTCCGCTTTAGTTCTACTTCTTCATTTGTTCGACTGACAGCGCGATACTGCGATGACATTACAATTTAAATTTCGAATAGGTTGACTTGGGACTTTTTTTCGTGGTTTTTGTATTAGACCCGTCGTCCATTTATTTGTAAGTCAATGATTCATTAGCTTATTATATAAGGGACACGCAGTTTCTATCTCCAAGGAACCTTTCCAAGAATAGAAACGCAAACAACAATGTTTAATCATAAAAATGGAAAACCAAGAAATACACAAAAAAAAATTTTACTATAAAAACAACCAACTACTTATAAAGTGCCCAAACCTAAAAGCTAAATAGAACGCATGTCCTATCACAAAAGTAATCAAAACTAGAAATCAGAATTTGCGTGATTTATTCCTTTTATAATCATTATATCACTCACATACATGAATATAAAGAAATATTATTATTAAGATAAATATTGTTGCTTTGTACACAACAACGATATCAGGCACCCGAATGATAAACACGTGTTTAACACTTTTAGATAAGATTAAAACGTAAAAATATTTTGTAAACTTATTTATACCTACGTAGGTGGAAGATCCCAACAAATTTATCGGAGAAACGATATCATTCCTTTAAAATAGCCCAGGTCCTAGAATTTCAAACTTTCGGGTACAAAAGTTTTTCGACAATTTTAAATACATTCAGTGGCCAAGTCGAAATGTGGTTTGGCTGGTCACGTCGAGTTGTGGGCCAAGATAACCACGTAGTGGAAACCCCATAACTCAAAAACGAGACGACCACGTCGGCAATGGCGAGATGATTTAGACTTTTTAAAGGATTTGTCAGATATTGCCCAAGGACGGAATAAATAGGAAAAGAGAGGGAGGATTTTACCCAGCAATGAGACAGAACAGTATCACAAAAACAAAATACTTTCACATTCTATGCAAAGAAATATCGACGTATCGACTTCTTAGGTTTTCGTGATTGCTACACATTTGATATGAAACACGTTTGAAACCATGTTTTTTCCAGTTCTATACAGGCATCGTCGTTAATTTGTTTGATTAACAAATATACGCGCTTAAATTCGAGTTCTTTTGCTGTGTTCGTTAACTCTCGGTCTCATCGCGTTTTATTTCCAAAGTGTCCAAACATTATTATGATCCTTAAAAAAACATCTAGTTTCAATTTCAATTCCGTTTTTGTTTACTGTACCCCTACATAATTCTTCACTTACCTCAAAAAATTCCATCTCAAAGATGTGTGATTCAAGAGTCTCATCTGTTTCATCGTCTTCATGGTTTTAAATATTTAACACCTGTGTATTGAATAACACATTATTCATTATCTGTGCTATGATTTTAGCTGTATTTTACTTGTTACTTAGCGATATCATCAGACACAAAGTCAAAGTCAGATAATCATTTATTCCAAAGGTAAAATTTTTACACTTGACAACGTCGTTTTTTAAGCCACTGCTCGTTCACTACGCTGACCTCCCAGAGAAGAACGAGCAAGAAACTCTAGAGATTGCACTTTTTAAATAAACTTTAATGCTATAGAATACATTTTGAATCACATCTGTGTGGAATCTAGACTCACGTTGTCTTTCCATACATCTTTATCTAACACGTAGTCTACAATTTTGTAATATGACTTTTCAATTAAAATACTTTTAATGCAAGTTTTAAACTTAGGAAATAGTAATCTTAATACATGCTCCGGAACATTATTCCGGTTATTATTATTACAGTTTCCCATAACCGCTCACGCGATTCATG